ACCATAGCTAAGATATGGAACCAACCCAGATGACCCTCAGTAGATGAATGGATCAAGAAAATGTGGTATATATACACAATGGAATTCTATGCCTCTGTCAGAAAGAATGACATTGCCCCATTTGTTAGGACATGGAAAGACTTGAAAAAAATTATATTAAGTGAAGTAAGCCAGGCCCAAAGGAACATAGGTCCCATGGTTTCCCTTATTTGGAATAACTAGCATATACCTGAGACAAGCAGAAATGGTCAGATAAGTTGATGTTAGGTGAAATGAGCCCCCAGATAAGGACTCAAATGATTTTGTTTCTTGCTATTGTTTCTAACATATTTATAATATGATTTCTTTGTTGCTTTGTATGTCCCTTCCCCACAGTATAACCCCTGTTTTCACTGTATTTGATGTTGGTGTAGTTTGTGGAAGGGAAGGGAGAAAACAAAATGTTTAAATAGGGATACAGGTGGACCCATTGCAGCAATGAGATGTACAAAATCCAACTTTATAACTTTGGCAGCCATGGCGGGGGCAGGGTGTGGGGGGGAGACACGCTGTGAGGGATGGAAAGGGGAAACAAAGGAGGAGGCAACAATGCTTGATAAGAAATGTACTCATTACCTTGCTCATGTAATTGTAACCCCTTTGTACATTATTTTCACAATAAAACATATTGAAATAAAAAATTAACCCAAATAAATAATTAAAATAAATAAAAATTCTAACAATAAGTTACCAAGACTTTATAAATGTATATATGTTGTATCCCCCATTGTAATACCCAAAACAATAGCTTGGTATTTTTTGATAAAATTATTTGATTTAATATATTTCATTTATATAATCTACTTATGTCTGTGTTTGGGAATTTGCCCTGTTCAGGTGTGAACTGTCCATCAAAAGCACACAATTTTGAGCTATAAAAAGATCACTAGGTTGGTTCTCTACATTGGATAGGTGTACATAGCAATAAAGTTTTGATTAAATTGTCTAGTTTGCTTTTGAGAACTTCAGACAGTAATTTACTTACCAGATCCCAGGGTCAGTGTCTGTGTCATAGATGAAATATGTGGATGAAATATTTACCTGGAAGAGAGAATTTTTTATCACACATGGAAAAAACAATAACATGTATCAAACATTAAATTTCTATGTTCTTTATATTAAACTAAATTGTACCCTTCCATTCTCATTTTCTTATTTAAAAATTTAAGCTTAAATTTCTACTAATTTGAAATTACCCCTGGGGATCATTTTATTCTGTAAGTTTATAAAGACTGTGGGCATTCCTTGCCTTTCTTCAGCTTGTATTATATTCTTGTTTTTAACATAGATCTTAAAAGCAAAATGCCTTAATCTGGATCAATTTCCAAATTTGCTTCAGGACTCTGCTTCCTAAATTGGCTTTAGCTAAATCTCCTTGCCTGCAGGTGTGTTGATTTATCCTTTTTTAACAAAGTCACCAGACAAGATCAGACAATTAGGCATTTCTGCCTGAGGGAGGTTGCTCCAGCTTTTGCTGGTGTAACTGGACAAATACCATTTTCATTGGTTTAAAGTCACATCACACAGATCCAAAAGATTATGTATGCACTAACAGGATCTGAATTTTTAAATATACTAGAGGAAACAAAGTAACATGTTATCTTGTATTTTGTATTATCTTGTCTTTGACATCAATAGCTTTTGGAAGGCAGCTATGCTAACTACTATACCACCAACGCCCGCGATCAATAGCTTTTGTTGGCCACTATCAAGTCTGAATTATAACCTAATTTTGGGCTTGTCCATACACATTAGCTTGTTCAGCTGAAACACCTGCCATCTCTCCAGTAGCTTTTCCAGAGCTACTTTCATTACTCAGAAGTTCCGTGACATTTCCCAATTCATTTTTACTTTTCTAATAAAATCACCATCATAACTAGTTTGAAAAGCTTTTCTATGTCTTTTGCTATGGTGTTAGGAATCAAATTACTGACCATGTCCTTCACGTCACTGTCTATACTTTTTGCCTTCCCCTTTTCTAGTTTTTGGACTTGTTGACCCTGCTTAGACTGAGAATGAGAGGCTTTCCATAGCTGATTGTTGCATTCCTTTTAGTTAAACAAGTCCAGAACAGACCAACTGATAACCATTGATAATCTTAATGCCAACATAAATTTTGTTTGTAGTCTGATATTTTTTTAACTGTGGAACGGATTATTTTTAATGGATAAGATCAATACCATGGAAGTTTGGTAGGTGTTTCCCCGAAGATCCTCAATAATTTCCTAAATTCAACCTCCTCATTTGGTAGATGAGGAAGGCTTGCTTCAAATACCCAAGCTTGTGGCCACTGCACCTTTATGAAAGTTTGATTCCCTGAATCCTTGTTACTTTTGTCTCTCCAATATTTCTTGTATTGAACATAGCCAGTGCTGTTACATCATTCCATTCCGCAGAAATCAACCATTTTTTCCTTGGTTTTAATTATAGTTTTGAAAAATAAAAAGGAAATTTATCGGTAGAAAAGATTTTCTTTTTTTTTGTAAGTACAGACATTGTTTTTGGGTTCAAACATGAAGAGTTCAAGTAAGAAAGTGGTATTTCTGTGGAAGTGAGCGTCCACATGTGCTTTCAAATAGAGGAAATGTCTTAAGCTTTGGTAGAATTGTAAGATTGTCATTTTTTGTTCAGGAGTCTCTTGCGTGACGCTGTGGAGGGTCTTTAAGACAGATGGGGAAGAAGCTTGGCTTATGTGTGTGCTGCTGTCCATTCTGAGCTGTGTATTACTGGAGGAAAAAAAATCATCAGTATTGCACAAGATAAACATTTTGGCACCAATTTATTGTTCATCTACTTTCTGAAGGGTTCTACATAGAAGAAACTACAGTATTAAGCAAAAATATCCAAATGAATAAAGAAGGTTCCTCTCCAAAGTGCAGCAGAAAAGAAAGACAAACTTGTGGTTACAATCTAAAGCAAAAAGTGATACACTGGGTAGAGTGGCAGGTAGAATGAAGGACAGAGCTATACACTTAGAGAACTGTAAGATTCACAGGGAGAACTAGAGAGAGGTGAGTGCTGGAGGGCAAGGAGTGGCTATTACAATCAGGAAGATTGTATATTGGGGATTGGGCATATTGTGAACATGTGTTTATGAGCATGCTTGTCTGGCATGGAGATTTGCAGGGAATTTAAAATCGCTCCCATGGAAAAGATGTGTGATGAAATGAAATACAAAATAGCTCCATCAATAAGGGCTTTAGGCTATTTTCAATTTTGGATTTTGTTCAGTAATGTTAACTATAAAGTTGTATTTAGTTTGGAATGTCAGGAAAATTATTCATACCTAAATTGTAGGGGATAAATAAAATAGGATCTAGGGATGGGTGTTGGGGGCAGACGGGGCAGAAATTTGGTCAAGTAGCTACTATGGCAACTCAGAGGGAAAATGATAATTGGTATTAATTACATGTCAATGAGAACAGAAAGTAGGTTATAAAAATATAAATAACCAGGTTACATTTTTATTTTTACATTGTATTTGCAAAAGCAGCACATGGCTTAGAAATCCCTTTCATATTAAAATATACTATCAATCTACTTTTTTAAAAAGGATGTACATTCCAGGAGTGTAGTGATGTTGACTTCCCTGTAAGTCCCTCCCTAACTGTACTTTCAACAGGTCTAACACTAGTTTAAAATCTGATGCACACTAGTTTTCCAACAAATATTTTCACTGATTGTAGGAAATAAGATATAGGCCATTCCTGATGGACCCCAAAAGTTTTGGCTTGGTTTCATGGCTGTGAAAGGATCCTCTTTACCAAGATTTAGAATGAGAAAAATTTGAGCAAGCAGGATTTGTGCAGCAGGCATTGGGGCATTAGTCTGTTCAGAAAACTCATATGGGATAGTAAAATAGAAATTTGAAAGACTTTAGCATGGAAGTGTTGCTCAAAGGAATTGTGGCTGATACATTTCCCCTGGCGAGATCATAGACTCAGATGAGAGACTTGACATGTTCATCATCCACCTGAATGTAGGACTATTAGAGATAAAGAAACATTTGGGGGCTGGGAAGGTGGCTCAGTGGTAGAGCGCTTGCCTTGCATGCATGAGGCCCTGGGTTAGATTCCTCAACAGCACATAAGCAGAAAAAGTGAGAAGTGGTGCTGTGGCTCAAGTGGTAGGGCACTAGCCTTGAGCTGAAGAGCTGAGGGACAGTGGCCAGGCCCAGAGTTCAGGCCCCATGATTGACCAAAGGAAAAAAAGGAAGGAAGGAAGGAAGGAAGGAAGGAAGGAAGGAAGGAAGG